TCTAGCATTTTCGAAAAGTTGAAAGAATGGATGGCCTGGAGACAGGAAACTCGATTTTGAAGATTTGTGATGGCATTGACTTATTTTACTGCTAAAACGTCACCCTCACGCATGATTTTTTGGCAACTGCAATCCTACTGAATCGGCATATTTTTGCGTCCATTCTACTGGAGCGCTCGAAGTTGTTTTCACTGCTGTGTTTTTGCTGCTTTCGGTCAGGGAAGTGAGAAGTTTTGAAGAGAACCTAAACCTGCAATCATTAACGGTACAACGCAGTTGATCCTGACAAATGATTACAGTGGAAAATGTCAGAAAAGTGAACAAATGCTGACAGATGAGGGCACTGATAGGCGAAGTAACAGGGGGAATCAAATTCTGTGTCATTACACAGCCTGACAGATTGGTTACTTCGCGAATTCTGACTTTGAAAGAAAGCACAAGCTGAAGTTGCGCTGAATAATGAGCCACGACTCGTTACTGTTTGGAGATACCGACTCAAACAAACGAATAAAATTATCTTTCCTGACAAGTGTAATATATTTTAGGACTATGTACTTGTTGCGTACTTTCCATATGACAGTGCTGATAGTGACAGCGTGTCATTCCTACAAAATACTGGTGTACAGTCCAATGATCAGTATAAGCCACATGCAGTCAAATGGTCGCATAGCGGATACACTTGCTCAAGCAGGCCATCAAGTCGTAAGTAGCACTCAAACGTGTACCGAAAAGTGACAGAAAGGCCGCTTTTTATGTATTTTTGCATATATGCAAGTGCAAAAACGGCCCCGATGTATGTGTGTGTGTGTGTGTGTGTGTGTGTCCGCGTGTTTTAACTGGGCACCTAAGCAAGCTCTAGCGTCAAAATTTTGCCTACGGGTCCCGGACAAGTGCCACTCAGGACACCAACTCTCACGCAAAATTTGGGCCCCGCGTATGAGAGGATGAAAGTTTTGGCTGGAAAATCGCTAGCTCGGATCAGGCAAGCTAGAAAGCTGGAGTTATAGGGTTATGTCCCCCGTCCACCTGGAACTAAAAAATTTCAAATTCAGCCTCCAGGCATACGTGGTTCCCGCGTACGGCGTGTGGGCTCCTGGCACGAAAATCGCTAATTTTAAGGGAATGCCCCCAGCCTCAGTGAAAGCTAAAAACAACAAATTTAGCCCCCAGGTATGCATGGTTCTCATGTGAAAATTTTTGTCGGAAAGAATTGCTAACTCGCGACCAGGGAAGCTGGGAGGCTGAAATTTTCAAGGAATGTTTCCTGTTCAACTACCGCATAGACAGTTAACTTCTCGGGCTTCAAGGAATAGTATGTCACACATTTCTAGCTACTGAATTTACTGAGCGGTCTCATTACATCACGAAATACTGCAAAAAAACGTATCATCGCACGGGCCCTCCCAGTGCACGTCGCCAACGATTTTTCTGACAGTAAGTACGTATGAAATGGCCAATTCTGCTCCGGACGTCATTCAGAAATGGCTTGAACTCTTGATACCCTTAGCAGCTATTTACTTAATGATTAAACTGGAGGTATATCCCTTAGGGATACTTTGGCGGACAGGCAAGTGAGGACAAGCGACTGCTGAAAATCCTAGCTGGAACAGTGTCACAACGAAAAGAACTCGTTTTCTCGCCATAGCTGTAGCTCACTGCAATATTTAAGTTCACGAATTTTCAGAACACAACCTCTAAAGCATCTTCTTTCTCCGAAAAAATTCTAATCAGTTACAAACACGGTGCAGGGCCGAACTCGTTATAGCCTGAAAAGTTGGTAAACTGATTTTGCCTGGCAGAAAAGAACGGTAGGAGACGAATGATAGTCAACGTGGATTTACTGGGATTCCTACCAAAAGAAAAAAAAATACAATGAAAATAATATTAGCAGTTTTGCTTAGATATTTCTTTGTGAATTGTAGGTACTATTTGAACCGGAATTTCTACCAATCGCAAACTATAATAATTCTGCGCTTGCTGAGCGCATTATCGTGCCAGGTTTCAGCTCTGCCCATCTGGAATGGGTTAATACCTTCGGAAAAGCTATATTTAGCCCGCGAAATGTTATCCATCGCATTCAGGGTTTTATTTATTGGCACAGGAATATGGCTAAACTCTGTGCTGGTATGTCTTCAGAAATCGGAACTGAACTCACGGCGCTGCAACTGCACGTAGAGATGCAGTCGTCGGTGTAACCGCACAGATTTGTGGATTAGCTTTACGGACACTGTACAAACGCATGCAACTAGTAAAGGCAAAAAATGCTGACTCCATGGCAATTTTTTGGCCTGCATAGCAGTTCTACATCTGAAGGTTCGAACTGTCGGCTCGGCATTGAGGTCTAAATCCTTTTTTCAGACCTGTTGTCTCCCATCAGCAGCAAATCAAGACTGTAAAAATGTGTTACTTTAGTTCTGAAGTTATGGAAAATTACGTACTTGGAATGCGATGACAAAGCAGATAAAACAAAAACTCTGTGCTACTTATGACTGAATGCATTTTAAGGCTTGTTTGTGAAATTTAGTTCCCTAGCTTTCCTATTTTCTGCCTAAATAATTCAAGTACCCACACACGCACATACTTGCTTGCGATTCTCACCGTTTTGTTTTTTGATAAGCTTGTTTATAAGTCAAAAACGTTTCACGGAGAAGACATCTTATGCTTTTTTTTTGCTTGATAATACAACTCAAGTATTCTGCGAAGAAAAAAGAAGACAATTCTGCTTTAATTTATTCGTATTTAAAGAAAGCATAGAAAAATGCAGCACTGTTTCGTAAATGCCTTTACAGGTCTTCCAGAAATCTTAAAAATACTTCAGAACTCTTGGAGAAATCAAATTACTTGGAAAAACTGCGTTCTTATAATTTTGATGTCTATATTGGAGAGCAGCTCAGTTTATGCGGCACAGGTTTAATGCATGCGCTGGGCATCAGAACACATGTATGGGTTTCCAGGTACGCATCATTCAACATCCACAGGACTGCTAAATGGATTTAGAAGTTTCAGCGGCAGTTCACTCAATTCTGAGTTTAGCCAATTTGAGCGACACGGTTACTGTTGAAGCTAAAAAAGATTGTTGCTATCTGCAACAACACACAATTTAAGATTGCTTGCAACTCACGCAGACACTCATGAAATTGAAA